TCGTGATTTGCTCACCATGAAATTTATCCTAAAGTTGAATCTGATGTAACTTACACCCGTCAAGACTTTCAGTGGAAATTCCTGTCATAATTATAATAATAAGTGAAGGACTAATTAGCGGCTCTTGGTGGTTTTTAGCAATCCCAGACAGTGTTGGGACTGCAGTTCCCACCCATGTGGGATAATGGCTGGGAATTCTAGGTGTGGTAGTTTCTCTAGGAAGTTTGGGATTTTATTAAATCAGGAGTGGAAGTTGCAGACTGAAAGGAAATGGGCTTTGCTGGTAAATGGGTTCCCTTTACCTCCCAGCTTTCTGAAAAATTTAACCACGATACTTTTTCCCTTGCCAATTGTAGCTGCCCTATTCTGGTTTTAAGTCCTATGCAGGCAGAACCATCACAAATCCTCAGGAGGGACTATCGGTTGGTTTCACTAACTTGGGTCTTGGAACGGGCCACCAACCCCCATCCACCCACCCCCATCCATCTGCCTCTTCATTCAGCCCATGAGAGGTGAAAGTTGGGCAACCCTTTGTCCAGGATGATCTTATTGGGATAGTGGTGTAGATGACCTCCAAGATCCTGTGCTTTTCATGGTCCTAGGCTGGGGATAAGAACATAGAATAATACCCTGTTTCCTGAAAATAAGACCACCCCGGATAATAAGCCCAATTGGGCTTTTAAGCGCATGCGCTAAAATAAGCCCTCCCCAAAAATATTGCCACGCAGCAGCAGCTATGAGGTGGCCATGCTCGCTGCCTCCTGCACCTCAAAAATAATAAGACCTCCCCCAAAATAAGGCCGAGCACTTATTTCAGGGATCAAAAGACAAAAGACCCTGTCTTATTTTCAGGGAAACACGGTAGGATTGGAAAAGACCTTGGAAGTCTTCTAGTTCAAACTTCTGCCCATGGCAGAAGATTCTGTTCCATTTCAGACAGATAGTTGTCCAGTCTCTTCTTAAAAGATCTCCAGTGTTACAGATTAACAGAGTTAGAAGGGACCTTGTGGGTCATCTAGTCCAACCCCTGTGAGAGGAGGAGCCAATGTCTCAACGATATGGTTGTGCAGTCTCAATGCTCTGAGGCCACAGCCAACACTTTTGCCACTGGGTGGTCCAAACTGACCTAAACCGTCCCGAAGAGATGGTGAACAGGAAGAATACGTCTTGCTAATCTCGGGGATATTGCAAAATCCCTGAAAAAAGCAAGAGAAGTTTTTCAAGCCAGCGACAAAAAATCCAGCCAAGGCTGACAAAGTTGGGGTGGCGCCAAAACAGAAGGATACAGAAAGAGAAAGTGTTTCCAGCTGGTGAGGAATTTTTATTGTTTTAAAAAAAGAGACTGCCTTTAAAAAATCAAAAATCAAGTTAAATGGAAGAATAGAAGAATCAAGCAGCGGAATTAAATTTAGAATGGTTTTGGACAGTGGTTATCTTACTTTTTAAATGTTATTTTCATTGATCGAATCTATGCAAACCTTTTGAAATGGATGGATTAAGTTTTCTTCTTCTACTTTCCCCTTGTGACACTCTGTAATTTACAGACTAAAGTTTTCCCCTTTATTGTTGTGGGTAGTTTTCTAATTCATTTAAAAATTAGACCTCTTTTTCTAATTTGAAATACAAAAAAGATACAAAAAGAAACTCTTTAATAGTGTCTCCGCTCCGGAGGCTGGGAGGTTTTGTTGATCGGAGTTTTGTGTATTCAAAACAGAAGGTTTTTTCTTTCT